AGTGGAGATTAACTTTGTTCACTCATGTTTAAGGTATATTTTTACGGGTTCGCCAAGTGGATAAAATCTCACATGACCCAATTCACACTCGTTCAAATACTACTTGCATTAACGGTACCATCACGAATCGTCGCCTTCTCTGGTTAGGACACATTCTTTGTCGCCCACTGCAAGAGTTGATACATATTTCATTAATTGCTAAACCCTGTAATGGGTGACGTCAAAAGCGAAGTGGGCCAATCAAGACCTGGACTACAGTGAGAAAAGATTTTGAACATATAGGTGGACCAGCAATATATGGACTTAGACGATGGAAAAAAAATGGCTATTACTATCTATTACTGTCGATGATAGCATCAGACCGCGCCGCTTGGAGCCAGCCTAACCAGTTATGGTGACAGCTATTAGAAGAAGAACCAGTAATGAAAACTTTGTGAGTTTCAATAAAAATTAAACCTTTTGATATGAATGTCGCAATTATTGAATTTTCTAAATTCAACACCAGTTTGAAGGGCATCCATTAGAGGTGCCTTTGTGTGATGATCTGCCTTCGATACCATTAACGGTTTAATAAGCTGCATACTTGAATCAAGTCCTCTTGAATTTGATAAATTTTCAACGTTTTGTTGTAATTTATTATTAGGCTTTTCATTGCCATCAGTTTCCAGCGTACTCTGCTTTGTTTTGTTTTCCAGCTTCCGTTCCAAACTACGCGTTCTTCTATAAGATTCCGGTCGAAATTTTGGTAAATAAGCTAAAAAAAAAATACAATTCTCACTACATCAAAAATAACAAACTTTGCTCTCCTTAGAAGCAGATTCCTCATTCGTTGCAAGAATAAACAGTTTTCATTTTCCTTAAAGATGGTGCGAAAATTGAAAATATGAGATGATTTCGTATCAATAATTTAGGAAAAAAATGTACAACTCATTAGCAATAAAAATACAATCTCTGCAGATATTGGAAAGATATTCAACACTATTTTGCTGAATATGAAAAGCGAATTAAAATTCGAAACCTGCGTATGCTGTATTTGGTGTTTCCATCGGTTTCATAAACAATTCAGTATCATTCAGTAATGATGATAAAAATACACGCACATTTTCTGACAGCGACTCTGTGCATGGGTACTGAAAATAAGCAAAAATATATATCGAACATCACATATATGCTTAATTATGGTTCAGAATTTAAAGCGAATACACTGCAAAGTCCCCTTCAAGCAATTATGCATAAAAGTCAAGGGAAAATTCGGGAAAACTTTATTTTTATGCGACATCTTACGTGAAAGAAGGAAAAATCTAGGTAAAAATATATTATCTCTCCAATCGCCATTTTTTCAAAAAAAATGAAAGCTCCATGGATAATAGAGAAATCGCTTCTAGTTTAGATTAAGATTCAGTCGATAAGTAGCCTTAAACAATTCAGTCTTACATAATTAATCTGAAAATGATTCCCTAACAAAATTTTCATGAACAGACTACATAAAACTACATTTTTACAATCCAACAACTGCTGATGGACCAGTGAAACCAATGAGGAATCTATGTCCCGAACTGATTTCACGCCAAACAATTCTTTGTGTAGTTTAAAGTCCCATTCATCGTCGCTTAAATTTTCCATAAAACAACTGAAAACAAAATTTGTAAAAGGTAGGCCTTTAAATATTACAAAAAAAATCCCAACTTTGAACTATAAGTTTCACACACAATTTGCAGAAGAAGCTATTTATAATAAGATCTTCTGCAAAATTCATTAGAAAAATTCTTCCATTAGATATGGATTACTGGAATATTTTAAAAAATAAAAAGGATTATTGTATTAAATCGAGAGTATTTTTTCCTTTAATAGCACTCACCATTGCTAGTTAGACTCGCTGCATTTGCTTGTCGAGTTAGACAAATATGCGAGAGGGTCTCTTGGTGATAGAGGTACACGTGAGTCGCCAGCGTCATCTCGATTTTTGAAAAATTACCGGGAGCAGAACACCAGCATCAGCTTTCCGAAATAAGCAAAAACTATTGACCCACTGAGCCATTCTACTCTCCTTTGCTTTCCGTTAGGCGATAATGCCGCCCGACGAAGCGTGGTGCATTTGAACCTGAGCCTCGATTCTGTGTGGCAGTTGTCTTGCCATTAAACCACCGAGATGTCAAATCAAAGGTACTGTGAAAAATGACTGTTAAAAAAAATACCTGTATAATGGCCAAGCAATTTTCCTTGGAAATAAGCAAACGAAATTTCCTCTGCGACTCAAATCCACTTTGAAACGTCTACAGAAATATTTAGCACTGCACGTACGAAGAGCTCCTGATTTTAGATGGCTAAGGTCTCGACAAACACTTTTCTAAAACAAATTCCTGGACAAATATATTGAAAATGTAGAAGATCGTAAAAAAGAATGATACTATCTCAAGTACATTCAATTTTATTTTGCATAATTTTCGATTAAAAACAAAATTTCGAAAATAAAAACAGAGGACCATTTTCCTGCGAGCACGTTTAATTACCAATTCAACTGTTGTCTTCAACTTTTTTTCAGTAATACCTTAAATTGAAAAAAATTCTTCACAAAACTTTACCAATTTGGATTAACAAAGAACCTAAAAATATTGCACAGAAGATCTCTATCAGGACCCCGAGAACAACAAGCCTGCAACGGCCGAGAAAAATCGTATTCAATCATATTAGACCTACAATGTCTCCTCAAACAATATTAAATAATACAAAATAGAAATAATTTTTGGAAAAAACCTAACCATATTTTTTTGAAATTGTAGCATCCATTACACCGACACTCAATGGTATAGCTGCTATATTAAGGACATCACAGATAAGCATCGCTTTCAGTCGCAAATCGAGTGGAGAATCACTAAAAAGCATTTAACTAAGACTTCTTAAATGTTTCGCACCACGAGCTGCTAGAAATTATCAGTATGGAAAATTTTAAGTGACCACCCAACAAACTATTCCTAAGTGTTACTGATGTTATTAGTAACCCTTTATCTTTTTACCTTTATAAATGATAACTGCAAGGCATATGAGAAATGAGATGATTTACGTGATTGACCTGAATAACGATTGTTAGATAGCAAACAAATTAAATTATCTATCAAAAAATGCAAAATCTGACACAATTTTTCCCAACCTTAAATCTCGCGACCCTTCCCCCGTTTTTGTTCCAATATTAAAACAATGAAAATCAGCGAAATCTTAGAAAAAATTTTAGTTTAATCATTGATAATCTTAAATTTAATCAACACGCATGATAGAATCAACTCAAATTTTTGTTTTTTTTGTTCTTTTTTTCGGAGCTCTTAGAAAATATCTCGTAAACTCATATTGCGTTCAACCTCTTTAAAATATAGCATGTTCTCCCTTAAAATTGATTTAAATTCAGTTAAATCAATCAAAAATTATTAGAAACATTTTCAATGTTGTTTAAATTCAGATCCTAATTTTGACATATTCGTTATAAGTTAAAAATTAAAGTATATAGTTTAAATTCATTATAGAATATCTTTAAGATACCATAGTTGAGCAGAAAATAATGGTGGTTTTTAAAATACAAAATTTTGATGCTCAATTTCACCACCAATTTCCTTTTCAGAATACATATACATATACTATATATACTTCAGAAAACATCACCTTGAAGGGGAAATTCTAATCTAAGCAAATTCACTGATTCATCCTTTTATGTCTATCAAATTAGAGATGAAGAAAATGGAAATTCGTGTGATTTTATTCTAAAAATTCAAATTGAATCAGCTAAAACTGCTCGCAGCATCAACGAATTATTTGGCCAGGATGTCGTCAATAAACTCAGTGTTCAATGTTAAAAATTTCATAGCAGAGGTAAGTACTTGAAGATCGGAAGAGAAGATTTTCTTCTGCGATCGATAAGAGTCGACTGAACAACCACTGAAGCAAATTCTCTCGACTCGAGAAAGTTGCAAAAGAGCTAATTGTTTTACCCAAACAACAGTATTTAATCATCTGCCAACAAATGGGGAATCAAAAAAGCTTGAAAAATGGGTACCACACAAATTGAATGAAAACCAAAAAATGCACCATTGCAATTTTGCGCTTCGCTCCATTTGCGCAAAAAAACGATCCATTTTTTGATCATACTGCCCCCACGATGAAAAATGGATTCTGCACAATCGAAAATATCTGGTTGAACTAAGGCGAACGCTTTTCTATGAAAATCGTTACTTGGTGATCTGCAAGCAGAATCATCCATTACTTCTTGAACCCCGAAGAAATATTGCCATGAAATCGGCAAAATATATGAAAAATTGCAATTTTTACATTCCAGAGTGTTAAATCGAAAATGACCGATTCTTTTGCAGGATTAAATATTTCACAAATAACTCTACAGAATTTGAAGGAGCAGGACCAAACATTACCATAAATCATATTCTCCAAACCTCTCTCCCACTGACCATCGCTTTTTCAAGCGCGTCAAAGCTTCCTGCAAGAGAAAAACCAAATACGATTTCCAGAACTCCGGTATTTTATGTCACTGGAATAAACAAACCTTTTTTTGTAGGCAAAAATGTTTTGATTGTAATGGTTATATTGGCTGATAAAATTTTGTCGAGATATGTTCTCATGCATTCCAAAACGACATTTTTTACTTCACCTAATATTTGGTTTTATTGATTGGACTATGCGAAATTCTATACTTCTCTATAATATTAAAGATAATGAACTGTAGGTATAGAAGCCTATTTTTGAAACTAAAAAAATTTTTTCATTCGTAGTGCCGCGAAATGTGATGTTTTTTATTATTTGAAATTTATTATTTCAAACTGATGACCCCGACAGGCCAATGAAAACGTTCTTAATAGATTCTTCTTGATCGATTCTTTGGTTACTGCACTTTAAATCAATAAACATAAAGAACAATTTACAATATATGTAGTATACTTATAAAAATTTTTCTTCTGCCACAGTTAGGTGCCATATCGTTCTTATACCATTTGAGGCGCCATTAAGGTACCCAAGGAGTTAAGTCTCTATTTTAATACTAATATTAATGTTTAAAACATTTATTCATGTGTCCTTTGCCCCTTTATTCTTTTCCTTTGTTTTGCCTTTTAATCTATTTGGTTTAATTACTCAAGTTTGAGGTAACGAATAAAAATTTTTATTCCACGTGCAGCTATCAGTTTTCTTTCTACTGATAAAGCAGTCGGATCAAGGTTATCTAATATAATTAACGCAAGACGAGCATCATCCTACTGCTTCCAATCAATAATTTTATTAATCTATTTTTTAAATGTAGTATCAATTATTCAATTTCTCTATATAGTAGCTTTAATCCATCTTGACTAGGATAACAATTTTTTTCTAAAGTTGCATTGCATTTTATTAATTACTGTTTGTTAACAGATGGGGATACCATCTTGCCTTACCTTTTAACTAATAGCCTTCACTTACATAACACCACTTCACTGCTTTCCCCCCAAAAAAATTTACCAAACTTAACAGGATATTTATCACGCTAAAAGCATGTCCATTATAACAAATGGAACTACAGTTAACACCAAACTGAAGACATACCAATTCAAACTTGGAGAGAGATTAACTTCTAACAGCCAAGGTTTAAAATCTTCATCAATAAGTATATCGAAACCGAATAATTCAAAGCAAAGTCGAGGATGAGATATATACGATCGACTTTCCATAGCCATACGATATTGAACAGAAAGCAACGTCTTGGTTATAAGATCCTCGATACGAGCCATCAATACTGAAATAAAAAAAAATAATCATGTATTAGAAAAAACAAAACCAAAAATGGATTGTTATGCAATGAATAATGCCACTTATTCTGAATGCCAACAGCTCCATTTCAAAAAAGTATGACAGATTTTTAGTCTTTTGAAATTTCTAATCAAGTTAAATAAAGTTCTTAAAAATATTTCAATATCAAAGTTAGTGGTTCCTTCCAATTTTCCAACACCAGACACTTCTTCCTATATTCATTTTCTTCAATATTCTACAATAAAAATAAAAAGAACAAACGGCAAATATCAATCCCATCTTCATCAAGCTTACGCAATAGCGCTCCAAGAGACCACTTATGGCCAGCATCATCTATCTCTGCTTGCACGTTTCTAAATTTGCTCTCTAATAAACTTACCAGAAAAAGAAAATAAAAAGTGGAAAGAATCGATAGCATAAAATTCTGAATTTCTACTGAAATTTAAGAAATATAAAACATACTTTACATATTTTTTATTATGTTTATTGATTGAATAATTAGTTAAATGAGACATCCGACAATTAAAGGAATTAGAATCAGTCGAATATTCTTCTGAAGCAAAACGAGCCAAGCCCTCACCATACACATATGCATTTAAAGGATAAAATGATGTCACCAAAACATATATCCTAAAAGTGGAAAATAATTCTAAAAATCGTAAATACAAGTAAAAATCATAAAAAAACAAAGACAAAATTTGCAAGTGTGTAATAAATATTCTCTTATCTCATATTTTCAACGCTAGATTAAAATATTACCTCAGATCAAATTTGTGACCATTCAATAAAAGTGGATTACTGATATATTTCGAGATTAACAATTTTCGATCTAGCGGAATATCCTCTGACTACAATTTAAAAAAGTGAAAAAAAATCAAAAAAAATTTAAAAATGGATTATGGTATTAATAAGGAATATATACATTGAAAATTTGGAAAAATAATGAAGGAAACCAAACTTTGTTAACAATAATTATGCCGTTGCCTCGAGATGAAGAAACAGGTTTTACAATATATGCACAACCATCAAAACAATCTTTAGCTTTACAATAATCTACAGGCGTGACAAAAAAGCTAGGCACCTAAATTAAAAGTATATGACCATTACTTTATTTATACAGCGCTCGTCATATAAAACGAAAACCAATACTTCACAAAATTTAAAACCCACGAAATCAAATGCGTCGCCAAATAAGATTCTTGCTCGAGCAATATTTTCGTACAACTTATCTTTGCTAGTCAATTCAGTGCTTCTTGGAAAATGATTAATTCGCTGCCTGAGAACAAAAAAACAATTTAAATGGACATATTTCGGTTAAATCTAATTTCGTAGACGGCAATTTTTATCGCCAAAATATTTTCCCATAAATATTTTTTATTTCCTTTTTCAGTGTGAGAACAATTCCCTTACTGGCGGATGCAACGATATCATTGAAATTGATGAAATTGTTATAACAAAGAGAAAATATAACAAATATAAGTCATTTCAGCCCAACGGCTTGTTGGTGGAATCTCGGCTGAATAAAAAATTCTTTATTGTCTCCGTACCAAACAGGAATGAATTAACCCTTTTCTCTGTGATTAAAATATATTATATGTATCTCCCAATTCTACGATATATACTGATGGATGGGGTGGATACAAAAATCTAAACCTACATGGATATATCCACAAGACAGTTATACATCAGCAAAACTTTGTTAATCCTGAAGATATTAATGTGCACACTCAGAAAATTGAATATCTGTGGTCCACCTTAAAAAGATTTTTAAGAAAAAAAGGGTATTAATCGAAAAGAAATCGTCTTGTATATCAATGAATTTGCATTTAAGAGTAATAATTATGGAATTGATACATTTACTAGAAATTTTATTAATTAAATAAATATAATAAATAAATAAATAAAATTTAATTTTTATCATAAAAAATTGTTGCTAAAATTTTAAAAATGGAAAGAAAAACTGCCGTCTACGAAATTAGATTTAATCCATATTTCAATCAAAAACAAAATACAAACCATGATTTTAAAGTTCGAAAAATTTGGAGTTTAGGATGAACACCAGTCCAAATTAGTCTCGCACTCGAATTTCGTTCCGAACACTATAAATCCTCGTAAAAAAAAATTTTGCAGGTGAAAAAATTCACATATATAATTTTAAATTCGATGAATTTGATAAAATTATATTATCCTATAAAGAACAATTTTAAACAAAAAGAAACGAGGCTTCAGAGATGAACCTCTTCGAATCCATGAGAATGAAGAATTGTTTTCACAAGGCGCTGATTGCATTTTATCATACGATATCGCAAATTATTACTAACACCAAAATTTATGAATGGATTTTTTCGCCATTCGTTAACGTTCAGTGAGATAAAATCCAATGCACTCGTTGTAAAATTTACGAGCTATAATAAATTAGAATTGTTATATAATCGATATGAATAAAAAACAAATCGCTTTATTAACTGTAACCAACAACAGCACAAAGCTTTAAGTCCTGCTTAGCAGACTGCAATTCCTTTCGCTAAAACAGCATAAGCTCAATAAATATCTTAGCGATATGCCAATGAAAAACTTACGGAACGATTATTTGTCAGACCGAATTCCATTTCACTAGGAAATATTGAAACCAAACAAGGGTTTGAAGTAACTCTGCGAAATTCCTCCACTTTTCTAAAGATAGTTAAATTATAAATTAATAGATCAATTCTGATAATTGCTCATAATGAACAAATTTTTCCTTTAAAACAAAAAAATAGAAAAAAAATGAACTTCAACCTCCGCGCAGAATTAGAGTTGACACGAGTTTTAAATAACTCATGAATAAAAAACTCATGAATTCATTTTAAAAAACACTAACACGTCCTCCTCCTCGACCACCATCGATGCATCTCCCATTACGTACAACCAATTCAAATTTGGCTTGCCAATTCAAATTTATAAGCATATTTTCATACATTCCACTCAAGACCAATGTTGGTTAATTGACTCAAATGAATATTTTTTTATAAATTCCTCTTAACACCGAAGCGCACTCTGAATTTTTCTTTTTATTTATACATTGTTGAAATTTCTAAATTTTTGGGATAAATTTTTTAAATTTGTTGTGAAATTATTCTTTTCTCCTCGAAATTTACAAATGCTCATAAGTTTGGATGTCCGTTTTTGTTTATTTTTTGAAATGTCGTTTTATAATTCTTCTTCCTCTTCTAACTGCTTTACTGGCTCGGCTGGCTGCAAGGATAAGACTTTTCCAGACGGCCCGGTCTGGTGGCATCGTCGACAGTACTAAAAGCCATTCCTTTTTCCATCGTCTAAGTCCATATATTGCTGGTCCACCTATATGTTCAAAATCTTTTCTCACTGTAGTCCAGGTCTTGATTGGCCCACTTCGCTTTTGACGTCACCCATTACAGGGTTTAGCAATTAATGAAATATGTATCAACTCTTGCAGTGGGCGACAAAGAATGTGTCCTAACCAGAGAAGGCGACGATTCGTGATGGTACCGTTAATGCAAGTAGTATTTGAACGAGTGTGAATTGGGTCATGTGAGATTTTATCCACTTGGCGAACCCGTAAAAATATACCTTAAACATGAGTGAACAAAGTTAATCTCCACTATAACTGGCCATGTTTCGCAGGCAAATGGAACGAATCATAGCTATATAGATTTCGTTTTTATGGTAATTTCACGACGGCTCTAGGACGACTCTAGGACGACTCTAGGCTGAAGGTTTCGTCAAAAGGAAAAACGCATTTCTAGCTGTCTTAGTTTGGATTATAATATCGTCTTTTGCCTGACCATTCGGTATTAGAGTGGATCCAAAATATTTTAAATCGGGCACTTCCTCAACCGATAATGAATTTATAAAGAGAGCATTTTATCAATTTCTTGCAATAAGACGAAAAGACTTTCGTTTTATTTATATTGACCTTTATTTTCGATGCAGTTGCTGACACGTTGTTTAGCATTTCGTGATAATCGTCAGCGAAAAGGACTACATCATCAGTTTATTCAAGGTTTGTGATACGATGCTCTGGACTGATTTATACACCTCTTCAGTGCCGACAAGCGATGCCCATTATCCAGTCTATCACATTGTTGAATATTATAGGAGAAAGGATACTGTCATGATGGGCACCAATTCTTATTTCGAAGGAGTCTGTCAGTTCCCCAAATACACAAATACTTACTAGGACGTGCGCTCATAAAATGTTTTTATGCGTCGAATGATCTTCTCTGGAATACCGTCGCGTTCCATTACCCTCCAAAGCGCCGCTCTATCAACTGAATCGAAGGTAGCCGCAAAGTCGATGAAACATGAAACATGTGACGGTGGGAAGCGATATTCCAACGTCCTTCTTAACGTGAACATCTGCTCAGCACAACTGTGTCCCGAATGCAGCTTGATTAGGGCACATCCTGTTGTCCCATACTTCCATAAGTCTACTGAGTTAAAAAAAGCAAAAATTCTTGCTCAGACGTCCAGTAAGCCGATTCCTCGATAATTGTCGCAGTATGTCCTAATACTTTTCTTGAGAATTGGGAGCAGAATTGCTTTACTAATATTAATATTTCTTTTATATTTTATATTTCTTAATATTTAATATTTCTTTAATATTTCTTTTCTTTTCTATTTCTTTTTATATTTCTAATATTTCTATATAATATTTCTTTTTTCCATACTAGAGAGTACATTTGTTGAAAATGCGTTATGAAGGACGATGGACAAATTTGAAGAGTTCAGTTCGAAGATTATCTTCTTCCGGAGTCTTATTAGCCTTAAGCTTATGGATAACGGAGATTATTTCTTCTTCTGTTGGTGCTTCCCAATTGCAAATGTATGGTTCAACGAACGTATCAGTTTTGTCCAGGTCAACAGATGGCGCATCATGGCTAAGTTTGGCCTCATATAGTCCTTCTACACTATGAGGCGTTCCTTAATAGTTTTAATAGGCACACCATTGCTATCGCTTACCATTTCACTGATCGTTCCCCAAGTTATAGTTTTTATGAAGAAGGGGAAATAGTTTCCTGTCACATAATCGAGCCGCCGTCTCCATTCTCAAGACCAAATTCCTACAATAATGATTTCTGTGCTATTGTCTTCCCAATTCTTCGATGCATCCCGTTGTTGGATCTCCAGGATCTCCTGAATTCATTTCATACAATTGGATAATTGCTTCCGATACCCAGATAACGCACTTTTTCCTGGTATGACGCCATGGAAATGGCTGACTTTCGGAATCATTCCTTTAGTTGGGACCAGTATTCATTTATCGTTCCAGAAAAATCATTTGTACCATTGAGGTACTTCAATAATTCGGTTTGAAATGCATTCCCGGAATTTCTCAGGTTGAGATAATTGAAGGATCTTGAGGGATGTTTTTTTTGCGAGTTGTTAGTTCTATGCTGCTCAGACCATAACATGGTCAGATCCATGATTTCCCGTTTCAGCGCCGTGATAGGAACGACTATTTAGTACGGAACTCTTTCAATGGCGACTAAGATATATAATCAATCTGGTTGAAATGTTGGTTATCCTGGGGATTCCACGTGTCTAGATTTTTTTACGACGGTGGTAGCAAGTATTAATAACAAAACGTTCATGCTCTTCGACCTTTAGACTCGCTCCGTTGGCTTTTCGTACTAGAATATGCAAAGTCGCTTGGTGACAAAGGTATAGGTGAGTCACCACCATTACCCGGACAGTTTTACTCATGCAGGGAGTAGAGCCTCAGCATCAGCACTTCTATTTGAGAAACTCACTGAGCTATTCTATGCCCTACGTTAACCGTTAACGAAGTGTTTCAGCCCTATAAACGAAGTCGACGATGTGGAATTCGAAAATACTCAGCCATTTATGCCTCCCTTGCATCAGTGAAAACTTTACTCCAACTTTATTACAACATCTTTTCTGTGCCTTGTTGAGATACTTCTAATTTGCTTCGCTTAATTTTGTTTTTTTTAAAATGTAATGTTACATATCCAAATATTGTTTGTTTCATTTCAGCGTTGTTCCTTTATTTGCGTAAAAGAAAATGCTCTACTTTGATGTTTACATTTTACTTATGCTTTACTGATAACATAGTTTCATCTATCATTCAGTGAAAACGCTCCCTCAAATGGTGTGGTTACCTTAAGCACTTACATTCTGGCGTTCTTGACGGGATATTAGCAATTCAACTATTTGTTATCAATTTATTTCCTTGGTGTTATGCATTAAATTTTGTACAGAAGAAAGGGAAATGACTCGGTGTTTATCGTATTTTTGTTTATTTGTACCTTATTTTTGTTCGTGCTTCAAGCAGTTTTCCCTATTATGAAACAGTGCTAATATGTTAGCAGTCTGCAAAATTCGAAGTCATTTTGAAGTTTCCTAAAATGGAAAAAACCATTCCTTTGAATATGATCCGATCCACTCTTCATTTCTCCTTATTACATAATTCACCGTTATCATAAAATCGATTACTTATTTCATCCGTTCATCATTACCATCAATAAAAAATAGGCTAAATATTTATTAATCGAAAACAAAAACAACAATTTCTGTAATAAAAGATAACCAGGCTTATGGACAAAGCCTGAGGATACGCGACAAGAAACAAAAAAAATAAAATATTAATCAACTTCTTCCATACGTGAAGCATCTTCCTCAGCTCCTTCCAGCGTTGGCATCGCCTCATCCTTTTCACCGGAACTAGAAGCGACTGGTTCATCCTCTTCATCATCCGCAATGTCTAGCCCCAACTAAAAGAAACACAAAATTATTAATTTCTTCATTTCAGAAGGAAAAGAGAGCGTATACTACAAGATGCAAGACATGAAAGTACAAAAAAACCCACTTTGATCATACGATAAATGCGCGATGCATGCACCTGTGGCTCGTCTAGTGTAAATCCAGAGGAAAGTAGAGCAGTTTCGAACAAAAGAATGACCAAATCTTTCACGGTCTTATCATGCTTATCAACCTCAACTCGCTCGCGAAGAGTTCTGAATATTCATTTTAATAGCATAGTTTCGCAAATATTTCCCAATGCGAGTAAAACTTTTAAAGCCATACCTAATGACTGAATGGTCAGGATTGATTTCCAGATGTTTTTTAGCAGCCATATACCCCATAGTTGAAGAATCGCGAAGAGCCTGAGCTTTCATGATACGCTCCATATTTGCCGTCCAACCATACTGTGCAGTAACAATACAACATGGAGACGATACCAATCGGTTCGACACCACCACTTTTTCCACCTTAAACGCATTTCCGTCATAACAATCAACAATAAAAATTTACACAAAATTTGCAACTAAATATACCTTCTTATCCAAAATGTCCTTCATGGTTTTGCACAAATTTTCATATTTTACTTTATCCTCCTCGAACTTTTTCTTTTCTTCTTCACTTTCTGGTAATTCTAAACCTTCCTTTGTCACAGAAACTAATTGTTTGCCGTCATATTCTTTCAGTTGCTGCATACAGTATTCATCGATTGCATCAATCATATAAATTACCTTAAAGATTGGTCATTTTGGATACTTCAAGTGAAAAAATCTTTTTACACAAATTTGTTTATGTTACACACATTGTATACGCTGTATGCTGAACATTGAATGCGTATTTATGAAAAAATTTACGTAGATATATTTGCATAATTTAAATTTACATAATTTATATATTATATATTTATATATGTATATAAACAAACTTCATAACCACGGCGCTTTACTCGCTCAACGAATGATGAAGTTGCAACTGCTTCTTTCGATTCACCAGTTATGAAATAGATCTGTTTCTGATCTTCCTTCATTCTGCCAACGTATTCCTTCAATGTTACCATCTCTTCTGACGAATGAGAAGTGTAAAACTGAAGAAAATCGGCCAGTTTCTTACGATTCGTTGAATCTTCATGGATACCAAGCTGTAATGAAATAAAGGACAAGACATAAACCTTCCATAAACCTAATAAGGTCTTTAATGCTTTCAAAAAAAAAAACTCACTTTGATATTCTTCGAGAATTGCTCATAGAATTTCTTAAAATTATCCTTATCTTCGGCAATTTCATCGAATAATTCCAAGCATTTCTTAACTAAATTCTTACGAATTACTTTAAGAATTTTCGACTGCTGTAACATTTCACGCGAAATATTTAAAGGAAGGTCTTCACTATCTACAACTCCTTTGATGAAGTTTAAATACTCAGGCATTAATTCCTCGCAATTTTCCATAATAAAGACGCGCCGCACATACAACTGAAAAAACGATATAAAGAAAATTAGAAAAAAAAATATGAATCCCAAAATTAATGAATAAACTTGTAATATTTATAACCTTAATCGCATTTTTCGTTTTCTTGTTCTCGAAAAGATCGAAAGGAGCTCGTTGAGGAACGAAAAGAAGGGCACGAAATTCAAGTTGTCCTTCAACCGAGAAATGTTTGACAGCAAGATGATCTTCCCAATCGTTTGACAATTGTTTATAGAATTCAGCATACTCCTTATTACTGATATCTTCTGGATTACGAGTCCAAATTGGCTTCGTCTGAAATTTGCATTAACAATGAGAAATTGTTTAGGTTGATTGTTTAGAAAAATTATTTATGTGAGAACTTGCAAAAAAATTTTCAAACATCTTACTTTGTTGAGTTCTTCATCTTCATGGTACTTTTCCTTTATCTTTTTCTTTTTCTTCTTCTTATCACCTTTATCTTTCTTATCTTCGTCCTCATCCTCTCCAACATCTTCAATTTCTCCTTCTTTCTTGTCATCATCTTCTTTCTTTTCTTCTTCTGCTTCATCATCGGATACTTCCTTGTCACGCTCCTTCTCGACGGTCTAAAAAGAACACATCTAACGAGATTTAAGCTAGCCTCACAATGCTAAATGTTCAATTGAAAAGAAAAAACGAACCAATTTTATAGGGTAACCAATGAATTGAGAGTGCTTCTTAACAATTTCTTTAATCTTGCGTTCCTCCAGATATTCGCTCTGATCTTCCTTTATGTGTAGTGTTATTTTTGTACCACGAGTTAATTCAGGATCAGAAACGGAACGTATTATAAATGAACCTCCTGCTGACGATTCCCATTGGTAACAATCGTCATCATTATGTTTCGAGGTGACTAATACACGATCGGCAACAAGGAAAGCCGAATAAAAACCAACCCCAAACTGACCAATCATCGAGATATCAGCACCAGCCTGCAAGCAATTTCTATCAATATTCTTAAACCATTCCCCATTTACTCACATAATTAGAAAATTTTAACGCAATACTGTAGCAAAAAATAATATATAAAAAGCTATATAGCAAAAAAACACACTAATAAATGGTAACCTGTAATGCTTCCATAAATGCTTTAGTACCGGATTTCGCAATTGTTCCAAGATTATTTACGAGATCCGCTTTCGTCATACCGATACCTGTATCGATAATCGTAAGTGTTTTATCGGCCTAAAAAATACAAATCATTGTTATAAATTTCTAACAAATGAAAAAAAAAACATTTCTTCGAACAAAATAAAGAATAAACCTTGTTCGGTACAATCTTGATGTATAATTCTTTGCCTGTATCAAGCTCGCTTGGTTCAGTAAGTGCTTGATATCGAATTTTATCAAGTGCATCCGATGCATTTGAAATCAGTTCACGGAGGAAGATTTCTTTATTGCTAAACATTTCTTACATTAAAAATGGAATTTCAAAATATCGCAAGAAAAACTTTAAATCTACTTAAACGCACAACTACATCTGGTAATGAATAGATACCTATAAAATGTGTTTATGATAAGGCTCATCAACTGAGCGATTTCCGCTTGAAATGCAAACGTTTCACCAGACATTTCTTCAGACATTTTAGTCGAAATGAGCGAAGTTCTCGATATTTTATCTGAAATATAATAATTCATTCACAGAACATCTATTAAATAGAGAGCGTTAATCCATACAAAAAAATTTCCCAACCCCACATACAATTATACACCAAAACTCCTGGGTAAAATTTGAGTTCCAACGCAGAAAAAAAATCCTTAATGCTTCATAATCCTTAATTGTTTAAAATTAGAAAAATGATCGATCACCTCTCTTCCAAAGCTTAAATTTGAACAAGCTTGAGGAAAAGAGAGTGCCTCGGAGAATGCGGTCCACAAATTTGAATCATTGCCATCGTTTTATTCTTTTAACGTTACTCCACCACCTACTATATTTTCTTAACATCATCAAACAGAATGGTCTGTTAGGCTTTTGCTCTCAATTCATTTTTAACGTCGATACTGAGGTTCCACTTCCGACAGGAGTAAACTTGTCCTTGCCAAAACTCCCTAGTAAAATTTATTTGAGTCCAAGTGCAGTAAAAACTTAACCAGAAATGATGAGTGTATCAGAAAATAAACCTCAAACTCCCATCTCAAAAGTTCACCACACTCCGTTATATTCGAAACCCTCAAAAACTCGATTACACTTCCTAGAAAAACATGTACAATAAACTGCAGAACTGCGCCCACCGTGTCCAATTCCTAAAGTGGCAATATTATTCTCAAGGTAACATTTCTTTTCTTCAAAAAATATATAAATTAAACCTCCAAATCCTTACTCTACAGTTCCTCAAGAATCTCCTCGTGATCTCCTCAGCCCTCTCCAATCTCCTAAAATTTCCTAAATACTCTCCTCCACCTCAGTTATAATTTTAAACCCCATTTTTTCTTAGCGACCTACTTTACATTTCTCATTTCAGCTATAAATTCTTTAACAACTGCATACGAATAAATTTAAAAGAAAACCTATTTTCAACATTTTCAGTATTTCGTTACGAGCAAACCTTCCATATTAATTTTCTAACGACAATGGTTAATTAAATTCCATTCACTATGCGATTCTCTGGCCAGTGTGCTCAGTCGTTCACGAATAAAAGTATCTCCGGCAGATTTATTTTATCTCATATTTAAACTTACAAACTTCAACATATTTTCTTAAATGAATCAAGCTGAATAAAAAAATTTCTGGAAAATTCTAACAAGGAAGAAAAAACTCTGGACGAACAATGTAATTATCTTGATAACAGTTAAATTAATTATAAAATTAATTATAAAATTCCAAACCTTTCGATTATCGATTATTCGCAAATTAAGAGAAAAAAATTTCTTATTCAAAAAAATCAAAAACTTATTAAACTTATTAAAAAATTTTGCTTTTTTGCTTTTTTAAGCGTGAAAAAAATTTAAAAAAAAATTCAATTTAAGCGTTTTACTGTTGACCCAAGCGCGCCCGGCGAAATCTAAAATAGAGTGAGAAATTTTTTCTCCCCCAAATGATAAACTTCTTTAATCCCGACTGAGCCTCACCTCCGACCCGAACCCCCAGCTCTAACCTCAGTAACCTTCACCATCCTTGAAAGAAATATCCAAATACCTAACAAAAACCTTTCAACAGGCAAATTCATTCTAGAATATTCTAGAGAAATCTTTACATGTTATTCAGCAGAAGTATTTCTGGCTCGAACTTTTTTGGGAAACGCCCCCTCTCAAATTCTGTCGAAATTCTGCGTTGCGTTGAGTCGACTCCACCTCCTTCTAGAAAATTCCTAACATTAAATATAAAAGACGATTCGTTGAAGTGGGCTTCGTGTGTTTTTGCTTGGGAGGGGTCGGTCCTCTGCGTCAGTTTGTTTTTGTTAGTATGAGGAGCCTAGTATGGCGTAGACGTAGGGTAAGGTTGGGCCAAGGGTGTCTATGCAGGTAGGTTGGTTTATTGATGATGGAGCTATTTAGTTTTGGTTTAAATAGAACCGATTATATTTATCAGCTAGGGTGGGTTGAAAGGAGCAGGGATGCAGCTAGTGGCTTGGCAAATGCAGCACTGAATTGGTTCGGAAGAGCAAAAAGTCAGGTATAACAAGGTTGGGGTCCGTCGAGATTTTCTTATGGGATGGTTAAAATATTTTTATTTTTTATTAGTTGTGATCCACATCATATATATTGCATATTTTTTTATTTCTGTAGGAAAATTTTAAGGAAGTAAAAAATATGGGATGCAGGGTGGCCAAACTTGGTGTAGGACTTCCCCTATCGTTAATTTTAACACATTTCAGATAAAATATCGAGAACTTCGCTCATTTCGACTAAAATGTCTGAAGAAATGTCTGGTGAAACGTTTGCATTTCAAGCGGAAATCGCTCAGTTGATGAGCCTTATCATAAACACATTTTATAGGTATCTATTCATTACCAGATGTAGTTGTGCGTTTAAGTAGATTTAAAGTTTTTCTTGCGATATTTTGAAATTCCATTTTTAATGTAAGAAATGTTTAGCAATAAAGAAATCTTCCTCCGTGAACTGATTTCAAATGCATCGGATGCACTTGATAAAATTCGATATCAAGCACTTACTGAACCAAGCGAGCTTGATACAGGCAAAGAATTATACATCAAGATTGTACCGAACAAGGTTTATTCTTTATTTTGTTCGAAGAAATGTTTTTTTTTTCATTTGTTAGAAATTTATAACAATGATTTGTATTTTTTAGGCCGATAAAACACTTACGATTATCGATACAGGTATCGGTATGACGAAAGCGGATCTCGTAAATAATCTTGGAACAATTGCGAAATCCGGTACTAAAGCATTTATGGAAGCATTACAGGTTACCATTTATTAGTGTGTTTTTTTGCTATATAGCTTTTTATATATTATTTTTTGCTACAGTATTGCGTTAAAATTTTCTAATTATGTGAGTAAATGGGGAATGGTTTAAGAATATTGATAGAAATTGCTTGCAGGCTGGTGCTGATATCTCGATGATTGGTCAGTTTGGGGTTGGTTTTTATTCGGCTTTCCTTGTTGCCGATCGTGTATTAGTCACCTCGAAACATAATGATGACGATTGTTACCAATGGGAATCGTCAGCAGGAGGTTCATTTATAATACGTTCCGTTTCTGATCCTGAATTAACTCGTGGTACAAAAATAACACTACACATAAAGGAAGATCAGAGCGAATATCTGGAGGAACGCAAGATTAAAGAAATTGTTAAGAAGCACTCTCAATTCATTGGTTACCCTATAAAATTGGTTCGTTTTTTCTTTTCAATTGAACATTTAGCATTGTGAGGCTAGCTTAAATCTCGTTAGATGTGTTCTTTTTAGACCGTCGAGAAGGAGCGTGACAAGGAAGTATCCGATGATGAAGCAGAAGAAGAAAAGAAAGAAGATGATGACAAGAAAGAAGGAGAAATTGAAGATGTTGGAGAGGATGAGGACGAAGATAAGAAAGATAAAGGTGATAAGAAGAAGAAAAAGAAAAAGATAAAGGAAAAGTACCATGAAGATGAAGAACTCAACAAAGTAAGATGTTTGAAAATTTTTTTGCAAGTTCTCACATAAATAATTTTTCTAAACAATCAACCTAAACAATTTCTCATTGTTAATGCAAATTTCAGACGAAGCCAATTTGGACTCGTAATCCAGAAGATATCAGTAATAAGGAGTATGCTGAATTCTATAAACAATTGTCAAACGATTGGGAAGATCATCTTGCTGTCAAACATTTCTCGGTTGAAGGACAACTTGAATTTCGTGCCCTTCTTTTCGTTCCTCAACGAGCTCCTTTCGATCTTTTCGAGAACAAGAAAACGAAAAATGCGATTAAGGTTATAAATATTACAAGTTTATTCATTAATTTTGGGATTCATATTTTTTTTTCTAATTTTCTTTATATCGTTTTTTCAGTTGTATGTGCGGCGCGTCTTTATTATGGAAAATTGCGAGGAATTAATGCCTG